GGGGCGAGCCTAGAGGGGCCGCGGAGGCTGCAACGTCCCCTGGTGACCTGGAGGCGGCCCTGCAGTTTTAGGAAAGGCGCTTCAACGTGCACAGAGAGATTGGGAAATGAGAGGGGCCTGGCGCTCAGCTGGGCGTGCAGTTCTCCAGGCACCTGTCTGCTCATCTTAGCTAAATCCAGTTCCTCTGTGTGTTCAGCCCCCCTCCCTGGCCCGAGTTCTTCATCCATTCAGTTGCCAAGTCGGACACGTGCATGCCGCCGCTGCTGCCTTCGTGTTCTGACCACACACCATTCTGGCAACCTCCTTCCTCTCCTGCAGATCCTTCCCTTCAGGGCAGCCAGAAAGATGCTTCAAGAACACAGCTCAGACCGCGCCCGTCGCCTGCTTCAACGCCACTGATGACCCTTAGGAGACACTCCAAACTCCCTAATGCGGCCCGCATAATCTGGCCCGATCAACTCTTCTGGCCTCTGCTCTCTTGGCCTTCTAGAGTTCGTGATCCCTGTTGCCTGTGGGAAACTGCTCATCACATCGTGGCCCTCTTGCACAGTTTCCCCCACTCTTTCCCCCACTTTTGTGTGCATAAAGGGGATTCCGATTGGGATGTCACCTCCTCCAGGAAGCCTTCCCACGTTGATACCCGGTTATTGATATTGGTTTCGGTGTCTACAGTTATTGATGAAATAAATAGGGAACGAATCAGAAATTAATCATGAAGTGGAATGGCTACATAAATCCAAAGAGAGGAACGAGAAAATGGCCACTGCTAATGAAGTGCTTGGAACTTCGGTGTTGAAATGGCTTACAGATGTGGCTGATTTTTTTTTTTATTCGAAGCAGAATTGCTGGAAGTTTCCAAATGCCTCAACAGGTGGTAGTGGACTAAATCAGAGGGTTGCTTCAGAATACACATATCTCAACCTCCAGCCCCAAGATACTTATGGGACTATTATGAATAGCTTTGTTTTGTTTTTGAGTCAGAGTCTCACTCTGTCACCCAGGCTGCAGTGCAGTGGCACTCACGGCCACCTCAGCCTCGACCTGCTGGGCTTCCAGCGATCCTTCTGCCTCAGCCTTCCAAGTAGCTGGAACTACAGGTGTGCGCTACTACACCCAGCTAATTTTTGATTTATCGTAGAGATGAGGTCTCACCAAGTTGTCCGAGGCGGGTCTCGAACCCGCGGGCTCAGGCAATTCCAAAGTGCTGGGATGACAGGCTGAGCTACCGCACCCGGCCATGAATAGTGTTAAAGAGCTTCCCACGTGCTTCTGGTCGACACTCTCAACTGTGATCCACTGGTGTTAATCATTGCAGAATGCCAAAATGTCAGAGAAGGGAAGCTAAACAACCTCGTGGCTAGACAAGGAAACAGAGGCATCGAGTCATGACATGACTTGGCCAAAGGGATGTCCTCAGATTTCCTATTTCTCCACACTTGTCCCAACCAATTCTACTGATTTGATTGTTCAATCTACACCAGTAGAATTCCAAGCTAGGGCTAAATTTCAATTTTCTCGGCCAGGCCAGGTGGCGCACACCTGTCATCCCAACATTTTGGAAGGCTGAGGGGAAAGGATTTCCTGAGCCCAGGAGTTCGAGACCAGCCTGGGTAATATGGCGAGACCTCATTTCTACCAAAATAAATAATTCAATAAAATCTTACCTACTTCTGAGAGATTAAACTGAGGACTAAGAAAACCTATTTCTAGAGACTTTTAACCTGCATGATCTACGCAGTTCAATCAAATGAGTTTATACATTTACTCAAATATTTATGGAATAAATACGATCGATCAGTGACAGGTCCTGGGGATCCAGTGACACATGATTCTTGCCCTTACGGAGCTAATGGCGAAAACAGAAATTAATTCATTAGTCAGATAACAAACCAATAGACGGACACAGCCGTCATTGCTTCAAGAAAATGAATCTTGTCGGCGATGGGGGAGGAAAGGCTTCTTGAGGCGTCCATCTAAAGAGCCGAACATTAGGTAGAAGCTAGGCAGGAAAAGAGTTGCGAAAAGATTTTTCTAGGCAGCGAACACAGCATGGGCAAATGTCCTGAGGTTAAAGCAGAAACGATTCATTTCATTTCATTCACTCACTCTGAATATATTGACGGCATATCAGATGCTCCGAAGCGCTACCCAGACTCTATCTTATTACTTATATAAAAACAACTTATAATTTTAATTGCTGTTGCTATACTCAGCCGATTCTCTTGAAGATAAATTCACATTTTTAGATTCTCATCTAAATCGCAGTTTCAGGTTTTCACCTGTCTAGCGTAAAACGTCCTGGTGACGTCAGAGCCTGGCCCTCCCTCCGCCTACCGACTCCCACGCGCTCAGCCAATCGCAGTGCGAAGCTCTCAGCTTGACACTTTTCTCCCCCAATCGCAGGGCACCTTCTCCCAGCCAATGACAAGCCGCGGGGGGAAACCCCGCCCCTCCACGGGAAAATCAATAGGTGAGCCCGGAGGAATGGAAGTCACGGCTCTCGCGAGGATGTTCCCGGCGCCCGTGTCTTCCCGAGGCGCACCGTCACGTGACGCGGCCTC